GCCAAGCAGGTGGGAGATGTGGACCTTGGGGACCCTCAGAATGCTCTGGAGACATTGGGAGGGTGATGTGGACCTTGGGGACACCCTGATCCATGTGGGTGGATGACATGGACCTTGGGGACAGCAGAGAGCATGAGGTGGCATTGGCCATGAGATGGGGACCTTGGGGACACCCTGGTCGCAATGTGTGAGACACGTGGTCCTTGGGGACAGCAGAGACCATGAGGTGGCATTGGCCATGAGATGGGGACCTTGGGGACACCCTGGTCGCAATGTGTGAGACACGTGGTCCTTGGGGACAGCAGAGACCATGAGGTGGCATTGGCCATGAGATGGGGACCTTGGGGACACCCTGGTCGCAATGTGTGAGACACGTGGTCCTTGGGGACAGCAGAGACCATGAGGTGGCATTGGCCATGAGATGGGGACCTTGGGGACACCCTGGTCGCAATGTGTGAGACACGTGGTCCTTGGGGACAGCAGAGACCATGAGGTGGCATTGGCCATGAGATGGGGACCTTGGGGACACCCTGGTCGCAATGTGTGAGACACGTGGACCTTGGGGACCTTCAGGATTTTCTGGTGACACCAGGAGGATGACATGGACCTTGGGGACACCCTGGTCGCAATGTGTGAGACACGTGGACCTTGGGGACAGCAGAGACCATGAGGTGGCATTGGCCATGAGATGGGGACCTTGGGGACACCTTGGTCATGGTGGGTGGGCAACGTGGACCTTGGCCACCTTCAGGATCCCTCTGGTGACACCAGGAGGGTGACATGGATCTTGGGGACACCCTGGTCGCCATGTGTGAGAGACGTGGACCTTGGGGACACCAGAGACATGAGGTGGCATTGGCCATGAGATGGGGACCTTGGGGACACCTTGGGACCCCTCTGGTGACAACCAAGTGGGTGACATGGACCTTGGGGTCACCTTGGTCACAGCAGGTGGGAGACATGGACTTTGGGGACCCTCAGGATCCCTCTGGTGACACCGGGAGGGTGACATGGACCTTGGGGACACCCTGATCCCAGGGGGTGGGAGATGTGGACCTTGGGGCCACTATGGCCATGACATGGGGACCTCGAGGCCACCATGGCCACAGGATGGGGACCTTGAAGACCCCATAGCCACGTGCCACCAATCCAGGCCACCCCAGGGACCCCATGGGCAGAAGGTGGGGACCTTGGGGCCACCATGGCCGTTGGGTGGGGACCTTGTGGCCACTGTGGCTTTACATGGGGACCTTGTGGACCTCATGGCCACTGGGTGGGGACCTTGGGGCCACCATGACCGTTGGGTGGGGACCTTGCGGACCTCATGGCTATTTTGTGGGGACCTTGGGGCCCCCATGGCCATGATGTGGGGACCTTGGGGCCACCATGGCCACTGGGTGAGGACCTTGAGGACCTCATGTCCACTGGGTGGGGACCTTGTGGACCTCATGGCCACTGGGTGGGGACCTTGGGGCCACCATGACCGTTGGGTGGGGACCTTGCGGACCTCATGGCTATTTTGTGGGGACCTTGGGGCCCCCATGGCCATGATGTGGGGACCTTGGGGCCACCATGGCCACTGGGTGAGGACCTTGAGGACCTCATGTCCACTGGGTGGGGACCTTG